GGGGGGGGTTGGCACCAAAGAGAAAAGGGTTGGAGAAACAAAATTTTGAGTGAGTAAAAGGTTGGGCAAATGAAAAACAAAACAACAGTCAAGGGTTGCGGTAATAAAACAATTCTATATATATATATATGTATATATATATATATATATAATATAATATATATATATATATATATATATATATATATATAATATAATATATAGATATATAGATACATATATACATATATACATATATATATACATATATATATACATACATACATACACATACATACATATACATACATACACATACATACATACATATACATACATATACATACATATACATACATATACATATGTATGTATTATGTATGTATATTATATATATTATATATATATATTATATATATTATATATATATTATATATATATTATATATATATTATATATATATTATATATATAATATATATAATATATATAATATATGTATAATATATATATAATATATATATAATATAATATAATATAATATAATATATAATATAATATAATAATATATATATATAATAATATATATATATATAATAATATAATAATATATATATATAATAATATAATAATAATATATATATATATGTATATATATATATATATATATATATATATATATATATATATATATATATATATATATATATATATATATATATATATATATATATATATATATATATATATATATATATATAATTTCGCTTACCTCAAAATTCCGCAACAGTCTGTTTCATCAGTAAAGAATCATCAGGCGGTATGACAAGTTTCGAAAAATAGGGCTGCTTATATGTGTTTTGGGCTACTGAGCTACACGGTCAGACGGATTTAAGACTGGAAATTATGAAATTATTTCATAATTTCCAGTCTTAAATCCGTCTGACCGTGTAGCTCAGTAGGTAGAGCGTCGATCTAGTAATTCGAAGGTCGCGGGTTCGAGACCCAGCCGCGGCAGACAACATCTTTCCGCTTGCGCTGGGTATGGAAATTATATAATACACACTCTAGAACATTTTCATCTTATCTTATATATATATATATATATATATATATATGGGCGATTTATCACCTAGCGAGTCCAGTGATGTCAACACTGATTGGGAACGGTGGAAAGATCTCTTCCTCGGTGTTGCTGCTGAGCATATCCCAGTCAAAACATTCAAGCGGCGTAACACTCCTCCATGGATTGACGGTGAAGTGAGGCGTCTTCTCTCAAAAAAGGACTCGTGCAGGAACAAAGCTAAACGTACGTCGTGTCCTAGACTCTGGGAAAAATTCCGCCAACTTCGACGAACAGCTAAGTCTTTAGTTAGAACCAAGCGCACACAGTACTTTCAATCTCTTCCAACACTGTTAAAATCAAACAGCAAAAAGTTCTGGTCAGTGTTTAAAGCCACTTCCAAACGCTCGAACATTCCTGGAAAAATGACATGGACCCAACAAGACTTTTCTCCCACAACAGCTGAAAATCCAATCGACATAGCTAACCTGCTAAAAAGCTACTTCTACTCCGTGTTTAAACCATGTGATGCCGCTCATCGCAGCCCTCTTCCTACTGATGACGATTCGATTAACCTAATAACCATCTCAGATCTCGAGTTAGCTGAAGGAGAAGTTTGTTGTGTATTTAAAACTCTCGACGTAGACAAAGCCACTGGTCCTGACAAAATTCCGGCGGTATTGCTAAAAACCTGCGCAGCTAACATCAGTTCATCTTTATGCGAACTTTTCAACAAGAGTTTATCTTGTGAAAAACTGCCGTTGGAGTGGAAGTTGTCTAATATCAGTCCAATTCCAAAGAAAAGTCCTTTCCATGAAGTCTGCAACTATAGACCAATATCACTTTTGTCGCTGGTCTCCAAGATGTTCGAACGTTGCATCTACAATAGAATTATTGGCCACCTCTCAAGTCAACTTTATGATCTTCAATACGGTTCTCAAAGCGGCAAGTCTGCACTACCCAGATGCTTTATGTTCTTCACGAGATTCATAATATGTCTTAGAGAAAAGGGGCCAAGTTGACACTATCTATCTTGATTTCGCGAAAGCTTTCGACAAAGTCTGAGCCATGATCTCTTACACGTGAAGCTTCACAATTTTGGCATCAGAGGAAATCTTCTTCGCTTGTTCGGGGACTATCTTTCTGGGCGATTACAGAGAGTCACTGTTCTTGGTGTAACATCTGAACTACTTCCAGTGCTTTCTGGATTCCCTCAGGGATCAATCCTTGGACCACTCTTTTCCCTCATCTACGTGAACGACCTTCCTATGTCTACCTAGCACGATACTACTGTGTCAATGTTCGCTGATGACACAAAATGTCACCGTCATCTTCGAAATTTCCAAGACACCATAATTCTGCAGCAAGATCTGGATAGTGTTGCCAACTGGTGTAATGACTGGAGGATGGACTTAAACCAAACCAAGTGTGTAGTCATGCATTTCATCTCATTGATCACACAGTACACAATATCAGACACTCCAGTCCTAAAATCATCCAGTCAGAAAGATCTTGGCATAACTACCACTAACGACCTTAAATGGAACAAACAGGTGCAAGAGATATCGACCAAAGCAAATAAAATGTCAGGTTTCGTAAAGCGAACGGCGTTCGACATTCGCCAGCGTAGAGATCGTAAGGTACTTTATTTGACTATGGTTCGTAGTCAGCTGGTTTATGGTAGTCAGGTATGGGCACCCCAGACGGTAAACAACATCTTGGCCGTTGAACGTGTGCAACGACGTGCCACCAAATTTATTTTGTCATTGCCGTACCAAACCGATATATCATACCAGGGAAGACTGACCACCATCGGCATCATCCCTATATGTTACTGGCACGAGTATTTAGATCTAGTGTATCTCTACAAGTGCATCATTTCCAACTCTGACAGTAACATTTCTATCAAGATTCCTACTCGAGAAACACGAAGTACTAATGCAACCAATGGTATCTTACTCGAAGTAGCCAAGTGCAAGACAGTGAGCTACCAAAACAGCTTCTACGTCAGAGTTGCCAACATGTGGAATAAACTCCCCTGTTTGATCATAGAAACCAACAAAACCGTGGTCTCTTTCAAATTTTGTTTAATGCAACATTATAAGAATCTCACCAAGGAAATTTATAATCCTGAGGATCCGAGAACATTTAAGTCTGTTTGTGTGAAGTGTCACACAACTCACCCATTGACTAACTTGTCGAATCGAGCATGTTGTTAAATTTATTGTCACATAAATTGTATTAAGTCGTTGATTGTAATTCGTTGTGCTTCTGTTTGTTTGTTTGTTTGTTTGTTTGTTTGTTTGTTTGTTTGTTTGTTTGTTTGTTTGTTTGTTTGTTTGTTTGTTTGTTTGTTTGTTTGTTTGTTTGTTTGTTTGTTTGTTTGTTTGTCGGTCTGCAAGCCTGTTATTGTTCATACTGTGTATTTCGAATGTCTTGGAACCCCGTTACTGCTTATTGGAGAACTAATCTCTGTGTGGTAATTCCAGCCATGTAATCTCTTGTGTAACTAATTTTGTGTGATAGTTTGTGTTAAATGGCAAAATCTGTAAAATAAAAATAAAATAAAGAATGGTAGGTATCCTTTTGTAAAGTTTTTGGCCAGGGCTGGGTATTTATTTTTTAATTGATGTTTGAGGTTGTAGGGCATTTTATTTTTCGACTTTTTAATGGTTGGATCAGCAAAATGTTTACCACGAAAATCAGTTCTCTTCGGTGCCATAAATAATGACCGCTCCCTTAAGGCCTAATTCCGCGAAATGCGAAAAATTTCACGCGCAAACACAGTTGTGCGAAAATTTTCTCTCGTAGTGATTTCCACAGTAGAGAAAAAAATCGCCAAAACACAAGCATTTGATTGGTTTCGCTATTTTGTCATCCAAAACGCAAGCATTTGATTGGCTTCGCCATTTCCGTTTCGCAACGGAGTAGAAACGAATTCAACTACCCGGCGAAGAGAAATATTTCGCAGAGAAACACTCCAAAATCATGTTGCGCATGCGTTCAACCTTTTCGCGCGAAACTTTTTGCATTTCGCTCGTCGTGGAATTAGGCCTTTATTAGTAAAAAACAGACATGTTGTCTGGATGGAAATTGGCCAGAAATGATCTCTCCGTATGGCGACCACGAGTCTCCTCTGGTAAAACGTTCTATAAATTAGTAGTATGTGTGGTATGCAGCTTGCCGCAAGCTGTGTCTTTTAAGTCACATGGGAAACAACATTTATTTTAAAAAATTTAGTATAGATACATATACTACATGAATAACAATAGCATAACATAGACACACTAGGCGAACAAACAATAGGACACAAGGACCTTGATGTCTTTTATAGTAAGTAAGTATAACTTCAACACGCAAAGATTCGATTTGAAAACCTAAAGGGTTCCAGATTTTAAAATCTTGCCTTTTAATATTAAAAATATTCTAGCATCAAAATTGACTTATTGAATGGGCAATTCCAGCTATAGACTAAATTTTGATCTAGGCAAGAAGAACAAAATCCATCAACACAGCTAGAAAGAGTATACATACAATGGCACAAACTGTCCAAAATTATATCTCTTCTTATCCACTCTTTGTACAAGATGTCCCCAAAAAAGCGACAGTATAGAAATTATCCTATTGTTATAATTTGAATGCCTGAGCACTATGCTGAACACAAGAGTGCGTAAACACAATTGAATTGAATTTTTACTGAACTGACCATGCAGGCGCATGAAATCCTGTGCTTAACAACAATAGGATAATTTCTATAATGTCACTTTTTGAGGGACACTCGATGTGTACAATCCTTACTTTGGTTCATTAATGAGGTCCTTAACGTAATCTCTCAACCAAGGGTTCACCAACTTCACTTGCGCTTCTGACTGTTCATTCTAGATGGTCATTAAAGGCACGTAGTCACCTCAAGTGAGCCAGCAAGTTCAAAGCAAAGTTCTTTCAAGAGGTTATAAATTCACGTCTCGCTATTTATAATGCTAACCCTAATCCCCACCCTAACCCTAACCGCTAACCCTATTAGCGAGACATGAATCTATATCCTTTCAAGAGTTTCAGCAGGCTGCTGGACAGTTTATTACAGTTTCGGAATACCAGGTGAATCATGGGTGTACGAGCCTAATCTTGTTGGGGGGGGCACAGTATTAGTTTGCCCGACCGCTTTGCTTACACAGTACACATTAGCCTGCGTAGCAGGCGTTTAGTGCGGACGGGGCTAAGTACACAACTGAATACAACTTTGTTCGAGATTTTATCAGGGTCTTTTTTAAGAATTTTCCAGGGGGGGGGGGCATTTTTTGAAAAGGGACCTTTCTGTGAGATAATATATTAGTGGGGGATAGCCACGTGGCCGACATACCATGTGGCCGACATACCATTTGAAGCCCGGAAATGTAATTTCCTGCATTCTGAGCATCCAAATTTGCTCTAGAATTTATGCTAACCATACTTGTATTTGAAATAAAAGAAGGAAAAAACGCATAAAAAGTAAAAAAAATATTAACCATAATTTATCATTACTTATTAGACGGGGATAGCAATGGCCGAAGGCGAGGTGTGTGGGCAGGGCATACTCCCCCAGAAAATGTTTGAAATTTGAAGCCCTGAAATGCCATTTCCTGCATTCCGAGCATCCATTCCTGCATTCTGAGCATCCAAATTTGCTCTAAAATTTATGCTAACTATACTTGTATTTGAAATAAAAGAAGGAAAAAACGCACAAAAAATGAATAAATTATTACTCGCTGGGGCACTCTGTGCCCCAGCGAGTGGTAGTTTATTTAATGCGTTTTTCTTGGTGCACGGCTCTGAAAATCCGAAATTTGGATCGTGGAATTCCCGTGCGGCCGTGCCCGATCATAATATACTGAACCTGACTATAAACGAGCCAAAGACAATTTCAAGGTAAAATGTTATAACTTAAACTGCACAACGTAGTTTTAATAAATAACTACTTTCTGAGAAGCATATATATTGGTGTCATATCGATATGAATTTTATCGAACAGTCCGTGAAAACACCACTGTGAAGGTAGCCGCGGATTGGGCCTCAGATTCGGCCTCAGATTGGCCCTCACATTCAACTGTATTCAATCATTCAAAAGTAGATTATTTGAACCCCTTTTTTTGGCTACTTTTAATGTATTTTTATTCGCTGGGGCACTGTGCCGCGGGCGAGTATAGGTTTCGGCTCGCATTTTTCTCGGATAGTGGATCGTGGATCGAAGATCGATAGCCACAAAATATAATATTAATGACTGCCTAATTTTCCCCCAATTATCCATAAGGCTCCTACCAATTTTACCCAAATTATCCATAAATAGCCCTCAATTTTGAGGAAAATTCGGGAAAATTGAACAATTTTACAAGGAATTTCGCATGGAACCAGCAACATTCGCAAATCGGAAGTTTGATAAAAGTTTGTATATTTGACTGCGCTGCAGCCTAGTCCCAGTCGTTCTGAAGCAAGCACGAGAAAAAAGTGGATGTAGTACGAGACTGGGACCTAGGTGTGACGTCACCGCTCAAGGTGCTTCAGAACGCCTAGCAGATTTCAGTATTTTTAATATGGAGGAAAATTTATATATACAAGTAACCTTTTAATTATAAATACGACAATGTTCGTTCATCATTTACATGTTCGATGTCTACATAACCAAATCAAACCGTATTAAAAATGTGCTCAACTAAAAAAATTTATATACAAATTTACGATACGGAGTTTGAGCAATGAGGGCCCCCTATACTTTTTGCGTGAAGCGTGAAGGGCTTGTTTTACTTAGCCGTGAAACGTGATCAGGTCCCCTATACTTTTTGTGTGAAGCGTGAAGGGCTTATTTTACTTAGCCGTGAAACGTGATCGATGATTTTCTTAATCCGTGACTCGTGAAAAGGCAAAATATTTTTACGTGAAAGCATATTGTGAAGAGGTATAGGGGGCCCTCAGCAATCGTTGATGTTATTTATATACTCGCAAGTTGTGATCAACACTAGACCATACTGGTATACACAACTACGCTTTCTACTTGACAGGTTTAAATTGCTGAGGAGATTGGAAATATTTGCCTGACATGACGGTGTTGTCAAAACATTTTTAGACGAAGACTCGGCATAATTTTCAAGCTTCTAGATAGCATTTAATATGGCTATATATTTTAGTAAACACGAGTCATATTTAGCCTGTTATTCCATTCTGACCGTATGGCAGCGAAACGTAACCTATTTCATTGTTCCGACAGCATTAGAGCAAAACTAATGACTTAATTATAAATGCAAAGGAAATTTCCGTAACATTTTCCATTTACAAATGAGGTATGCTTGGTAACCAGGCCAGGGACCACTTTTTTGAAATCAGGGACCATTTTACCGAAATCTGCTAGGCTCTCTCGCTGAAGCGTTCCGCACAGCACACCCAGGCATAAAACTTTTAAGACTTATTTAAATATATCGAAGCAGCGAATAGAGAGAAAGCCTGGGACTAGGCTGACTGCGCTGCTTTATATTTTGAGAAGAAAGCGACACCGTTCGATTCAGCGTAAGAAATTGTATTTATGGATGTCAAGTGTATTACTAAACACCCGTATTCTAGCGATTTATGGCCTTTGAAAATGAAGCGAAATTGTATTGTTGAAAAATTGCTCGCAGAACGTATGGCTGATCACAAATCACTCGCACTACGTTTGTCTACAGGTTTGTCCTTGTATTTGTAACGCCTATAATGGCGCAATAAGGATAAAAATACCACTGTTCGATTCAGCGTAAGAAATTGCACTTACGGGTGTCAAATGTGTTCATACTAAGCACCAGTATTCTAGCGATTTATGGCCTTTGGATTGAAAATCAAGCGAAATTGTATTTGTTTACAAATCGCTCGCGGTACGTTTCATAGTGTATTTGTATAAATGCCTATAATGGCCCAACAAGGATAAAAATACCGCCGTTCGATCCAGCGTTAGAAATTGTACTAATTACGAATGTCAAATGTATTACTAAACAACAGTTCTAGCGATTTATGGCCTTTGTCTTTGAAAGCCAAGCGAAATTGTATTGTTGAATTATAAAATAATGCAGTACATTTGACCCTTGATAACTTTGGTATCATTGGTTTTCTCTTTTTCGACCGTATACCAGTGGATTCGTCTCACTTCTCGCTTCATTTTGATAGTATTTTGAGCCCAAAAGCCCCGGAATATTTTATTTTGAACGTTTTAAAGCGCAGTTTAATCCTAGACCAACTGGCGGCTGACAGTTTTGAAGAATGTAGCGTACTAAATATAACTTTACTTGTAGGGCCTACCGCATTTTAGTACTGTGTTTATTGTGTTATGCCTTTCGCGCTCGTATTCGACTTGTCGGCTTAGCTCGGGGAAAACCTT